TCATTAATCTTTTTATAGTTCAAATTAAAAAAAATTATATCGATAAAATTAAAAAATATATTTAATGAGTTGGCGCTCATTGGCGTTTGGCCTGAGTGAAAACCAGGCTTACTTGGCTTTGTTTGTGCTATGCAAATGTTTTGCTAACCAGCGTCTTTTTGGTCAGCAGGCACACACACAAACGGAGCCTGTTAATTTGAATTATATTCATTATATATAATTTGTTGTTATACTATCTCTTGCCGTACATTACTAAATCTCCATTTGCACTATTTGCACTACTCTGCCTGGTTTACACTCAATGTCATTTACCCTTACCTGAATATTGTATATTGCATAGCTTTCTTGTTAATTTGTATTGTATTTATTTATTAAAATTTTTACTTTTTAATTATTTTATTTGCATTTTTTAATCACTCTTATTTAAATGTTCATTTGCTATTTCATCTAGGGTTTGAGAGTAACGAAATTTCTATTGTATGTCCTGTACATGTGGCAGAATTGACAAATAAAGTTGACTTTGACTTGACTTTGATTATCATGTTCATAATACCATTTTATTGTCCATGAAACAAGGTATTTCTCCTGGGCATTAGGGTCAGGCAATATCTGCACAAGGAGAACATTTATTATCATGTGAATATCACAGTGCCATACAGAAACTGAAACAAGATGCAAGTTGTCTTTCCTTCGACTAAACTGTGGCTTTTTTCAAGTCCTCAGGCAGCACCCGGCCCTTCTTCCGCGCCCTGTCCTTCTTCTTCTCTGCCCTGACTTGCTTGCGTTTCCGCAGGTTCTTTTGCCTCTTGTCCTGCCGCTGCTGCATCTTTTCTAGGACGTGCTCGCTCCGCTGCTCCCATTTCTTCTTTTTCTGAGTGCGCCTCTTCTCCTTCTTCTTCAGCGACTCGCGCAGCATCTCCTCGTTGTCCTTGATTTTGATGCCCTCTGCCTTGTAGAGCATGTTGGTCCACATGATCTTCTTTTCCATTTCGCAGGCCTTCTCCTCGTCTTTCTCTCTCAGCTGTTCCAGCTTGGCTTTGCGAGCCTCCACGCGGCTGAGCAGCTGCTTGTAGTTCTTCCCCGTCAGAGGAGTTATCTGGCCTTTTATCCCCTGTTTCTTGATCTTCTTTTTTTGTTTCTTGTCTATATAGCCCTCGTCCACCGTCTCAACCTTGTTGAAGACCAGAGCAGTCTCATTTCTTTTGCTCGAGGCAGGGACGTGCTCCTCTTCCTGTTTTACCTCTAACGGCTGTTCTTTCCCACTTTTTTCAGCCAGTTTCTTCATCAGAAATTCTTTTCTTTTCCTCTTCTTGCGCTCCCGCTCCAGCTTTCGCTTTGCTCGCTTTGCCTGGACAGCTTCTGATAATGCATCCTTTGGAGTTCCCTGATAAAAGACAGGTTAACATGGTTAAGCTTCAACAATAATTCTAGGGCACCCAGCGGTGACATCACTTCCTGTTTTAGATGATCCTCAGTACCCCTCCCCCCCTACAGTCTCTGTCTTTCATACTGTGCCATCTCTGAAAACTGCATACCTGTCCTCTGGACTCTTCAATCTTTTCATGGAGCCTTTTGCGTAATACATCGACTGTAGTGAAGCTGGAGTCTACACTTCCTCCTTAAAGAAAAAGAAAATAAGCATTAAATGAGACCCAGTTATGTAAAGAGAAAAACCTCCACACAGGACCAGCGTAGGCTTGGTATACCTTGATGCTTCTGGTGTGCAGCTCCATTTGCGGCCTCAGTGTTGGACCCGTTTGGTTTCACGGCAGCTTTGATTTTCTGTGCTGCTGGAGAGGGTGAAGGCTTCTGTTGGGGTTTGGGAGTCTTGCCATCTGTGGCCTCATCTTTCTTTTTGCATTTTTTCTTCTTCTTTGGAGGACCAGTGTCACTTTTAGCTTTGAAATGAACTGTACACACACAAACACAATGCACATATTGACGATTGCATGTATATAATGTGTCACTGCAGTTCTACAACATTGCTATTACAGTTACTAGCCTAGGGCCTGCAACATGTTCAGATAACGTCAGCTAACTGGAGAAAAGAGGATTTGAAATTTTCTGTTGGCAAACTCATGATCAGCTTGTTTCCTCATTTTTCATGAGAAAAAAAAAACCCAGTCACAGCTGATTTGGTGGGTGACTCTTCTCTTATAAAAGCAATCCTATTAGCAGTAAAACACCTGCCAGTCAGTTTATCTCATGACTTCTTAATATGAAAAAAAACCCTGTCCTGGCATAATGTGATCAAAGGATGTATGTCTACAAGTTATGAGCTCTTTGGTTTAAAAGTAGTCCACCTGGAGGTCTAGTGTGCACATACTTGTACAATGAGACATTTTTAAGCCATTTTGCCATATTGTCACTTTTATTGCATAGATTTTTCTCTATAATTTTAAATCTGAGTCCTAGACAACAACCATGCATTAGCCCCAGCTGATGGACTTGAAGAGGACATTAAAGAAGTGTAATGGGAACTACTGTTGAATCTCAGTTGTCTGCGTCTGCAATGGAATATAACCAAGTCTTTAAGTTGGGTGCACAGCCTGTCAGAGCATCTCAAGGGAGGAAACACAACACTAGGTTGTAGACTTAAGAAATCTACTGCTTAGGAAGACTGCAGAAGTATTTAAGACTTTATTTATATTTTAAATTAAGTTTATGTGTCTATTTACTTTGAGCATTTAAAAGGGGGGATTTGTGTAAAACTTCTGTGGCACCTAAATAGTTACTGCATTACTTTTGTTAAAGCCCTTGAATAAAAGTTGAGCCTCTGCACTTGCCTGATTGATTTAAAGTCAACAGTGTACAGAGGAAAAACTACAAAAACAACAAAAAAGTAGCATTGTCCAAAAACCTATGGAGCCAACTTTAAAAGACATAAAAAGGTCATTTACAATATTAGTTCCCACCGAGTTATAAATTAATCTTGTTATCTACAACTTCCCACATAAATGAAATCAGTGAAAAGGAGAAAATTGATACCTTTAGAAATTTAGATAAATAAATGACAAACAACTCTTTTTTTAAATCAGTTTTGGGGACAAAAAAAGTATTTTAAGAGAAATAGCAGATTATTTTTCTGACATGCTATCAGTTTGGTAACTTTAATGAACAAGGGGCGCATAAAGCCATCAGATTAAACACTGTAGCGCCTCCTGTGGTACAAAGTAGGTAAAACGTGAAACCGTGGCACAAGGTTTGATGACACTTGCTGAGTTTTACGTAGTTTTTCCACAATAAATAACACCTAAATGTTAAAGTCTGCACTACAGCTTCAATTTTACCATGTAAACAAACCCAAGCAGTTAGCTAACATTACCGAACGGTCTCTTCCTGGGCTCCTGGTCTCGTTGAGAAAACACTTTACTTGCAAGTTTCTGAATGTACGAATCCTTTGAGGCGAGATCCATGTCGACAAGTGAAACGGGCTCCCACCTTTAATCCGGATAAAACACACACACGATATTTACCGATAAAAACATCAACACGTTCACATACGCACGTGTGTAAAAATTTAAAGGGGCGGGGCGTCCCCAATCCGGAAGTAGTAACACCAGAAGTGGTCCCCCTCCAAGCAGAAACTTGTCCGTTATGTAGTTGTAATGTAGCCGGTTGTCTCGTCCATTTTCATCCATTTCCACGTTGTTTTGATTCAGAATGGTCTCTCTGACATCTCTGCTGACTTACTCCCGGAGGCTGCTGCCGACACTAAAAACACAGGTGCGTTAGTTTTCGCAGTTTTTCGTCTTTACGGCTCAAACAAAAAAAAACGTCAAAGTCATTTTCATCGCCGAGTGAACGACTTGCAAAAATGCTGAGTTTATTTTATACATTTGCATTTCAGAATCATGCATTTTACACCAAGAGGTCTTTCTTCTTGCCAGGAGCCTTCAAACGTGTAGACGGTACAAACTAAACTTGTCAACAATTACACCACCTTTAGATAATTAGCGAATAAAGTCACTGTTACATATTTTTTCCACTTAAAAAAAAAGACTAGAAAATAAATCTGTTTTGTATCTGTTATATGGTATTTTGTCTTTAATGGTGAAATTAGGTAAAAAAGTAATTACTACGTAATAATATAAGAAAATCAACAAAACCTGTTCGGTTTACATTAATGTCTGTCTCCATGGCTGCTGAAATAATCTTTGTGTATAATTTTTTTGGGTAGCATATATACGTTATTCCATTATATTATTTGTAACTGTTATGTCAATATGCTGTTCGATTCTCCAAGGAATCCACCTTTCACTATTATTCTTTACATATCCAGGCAGGTTCCTTGGCTTTGGACGACAGTCCAGCTCCACAGCAGCCACAGCTGCAGAGAAAGACTCTTTTCTTAAATGGTTCCTGCTGCTCATCCCTGCCACCACCTTTGGCCTCGGCACATGGCAGGTACCACTTATTTGTTGATTGTTATTGCTTTTTTAAATACACACAATGCAGTTACGTCTTTCTGGTTGTTGTTGGGTGTACTCCAGTGTCTTCATTGCCTTCATCTGTAGGTGAAAAGGCGTCAGTGGAAATTGAAGCTGATTGATGACCTGACCCGACTCACTACGGCAGAACCCATTCCTCTTCCTCTTGAGTAAGTGGCAGAGAGTGGCTAGGTCCTGTATCTATGACAGAAAATATGAAAAAGTATAACAGGTGCTCTTTAACACTTCATGTAATATCTTAATGTGCAGAAGTTGAATAAGCTGCGTTTTTTACATATGTGAATCATTAAGGCACAGATTTACATACCATTTTCCCGCCTTGCATTCTAGTCCTTATGAGGTTAATAACCTCGAGTACAGAAGAGTCAAGGTACGTGGACGTTACGATCACTCCCAAGAGCTATACATTATGCCCCGCTCACCAGTCGACCCAGAGAGAGAGGCCAGAGAAGCAGGAAGGCTCTCTTCAAGTGCAGAGACCGGCGCTAATGTCATCACCCCATTCCACTGTACCGACCTCGGGTAAGGAGCCAGATAAAACATCTCACCATAGCAATATCTGTACATTGATTGATACATCGCTGCTCTCAACACTGATTTATACCGTCTGTGTCACTGAAGCATCACAATCCTGGTGAACAGAGGATTCGTGCCAAGGCAGAAAATAAGACCAGAGACCAGGATGAAGGGACAGGTGAGGGGAAGACATCAGATGCTGGGTAAACACAGAGGTTTTACACCAGGCTGGAGTGTTAAGTCTTTGAGATTTGTTAATTGCACAAAGACTAACTTATTTTTCAAGACTAATAAGACTAACTTATAAGTCTAATAGGTTTGTCACAAGTTATGTTAGAACTAAGACTACAGTTCAGTTCTTAGGTTTTACATACCACGACATAATAAAAAGTCATCTTGTTGACAGCAAGTCTTAACGGCTAAATACAACTTCAGATGAACAACAACATGACACATCACACACCATGTAATTATTTACTGTACAAAAACTAAGCCAAAATGCAGAAGCAGCATGTGTAAAAATGATCTACACCCTGATAAATAAGTGCACTTGATTCATTGATCATAAGCAAGTATGAGCACCTCAGTAAAAGTAGAGGTTTTGGTAGTTCGCTGGTCTGGAGCATTTATGTGTGTGTTAACAGAATACCAAAGAGATAACAGCAATGATCCCTTGCCTATCTGGGAAGGGTTAAAGGACCATTTCCAAACAATTTGAAATCCATCATTGTACGTTGAGAAAGATTATTTACAAATGGAAAACACTGAAGAGTTTCCAGTCTTCCCAGGAGTGGAAGTCCTGGCAAAACACCTCAAGGCCAGACTGTGCAATGCTTAGAGAAATTGCAAAAAACCCAGTAGCTACATGCCAGACTTTGCAGGCCCCAGTTAGCGTGTTAATGTTAAACATGTTAAACAGCACAAAGAAAAATAATGAACAAGTATGGCTTACTTTGTTCACACATAACCTTTTTTGGAGCACAAGTTACTATGTTGATCCACCTTGGTAAGAAGCGAACCATCCCTGAAGTTACCTGGTCAAGACAAATCCCACGTCCTGGTATAGGCCTGGGGTGTTTCCAGTTTTGAAAACCTCTTTATGCACTGAGAATTCATCTTCAATTAGGCCCCAACTCCCTTTAGTAATTGAATAGTTTAAATATGCCTGTGAAAGTGCCTCGAAGACCCATTTATTGTCATGTTACTCCTACAGAACTGACTTACACCGCTTGACTGTTCGCTAAACTACTAACACCACCTTTGTGTTGTTGTAAACACTTGAATCACTGAAATGCTGCCTTTATGCAGGTGGAGGATGAGGTGGAGTTGGTGGGAGTGGTTAGACTGACAGAGAATCGTAAACCCTTTGTACCAAACAATGACGTGGAGAGAAACCGCTGGCATTACCGTGACCTGGAAGCGATGGCACAAGTCACTGGAGCCGCACCCATCTTCATTGATGCCGACTTTGGTATGTTTAGTGCTCTTTGACGCAATGACTTTACATTAAGATTAAACCTCTGCAATCCTCCATGTATGCTGTTTATCTCACTCACATCAACAGAAACACTTCAATTTGAAAGTAATTAAAAGTTTTGTGTCTCACGCAGGAAGCACTATTCCTGGTGGGCCAATAGGTGGACAGACCAGGGTCACACTGAGGAATGAACACATGCAGTACATAATAACATGGTGAGTGTTTTGTTTTGGACTGCTGTACATCTGTTACACTCATGTGTCAAGGTGCATTTGATTGATAAAATGCAGAATTACTTTTTTCTTCTAGGTATGGTTTGTGTGCAGCTACTTCCTACATGTGGTATGCAAAGTTCATCAAGAGGATTTAAAGCAATAAAATTATTTTACTTGGTACTTGAATGATGGGTTTGTGCTTAACTTGTAGCTCCAGCCTGGTACATATATTATGTAAATAGCTTCATGTGTAAATAAAGTACTCAAGATCGGGGATTCTGTCATTTACCTTGTTGTATATACACTTTGTGCCAATAATAACTGTTGGGGGGGAAGGAAAAAAAAAAAAAAAAAAGCGCCTCGTGTCCTGTAAATTATGTGGTTTTGACAAAGCATCTTATGTTAAATTTAAGCCAGTTTTTCTGTTTTTTTTTGTTGTTTTTTTAAACAGGTTAACTTTACTGCTGGATGATACTAAATATAAGTAATTTCAGTGCGATCAGATTCAGTAACTCCAGTTACAGAAACTTAGACCATCAATATGTCTTCACTTACAGGAATTGAAAGGCAGAGTTCATGATATTTTTCACCTTTCAAGTTGTGGTTTCTCAGTTATTAAAGAAAAAAAACTATCCCGATTTCAAGCAATTTGTCAGATAATGCCCAAGATTATTATCTTGATTTAAACTGTGACACTTCAGGATTCGGCATGGGAAACCTAAAAATGTCAGTTCCACCCTTATTATAACAATCAGAATTTAAAATGCTCCCATGTTTACGTTTCCTGCTGTCACTGTGTTGACACCTGCAATCTGATTCTAACATTTCTATCGTTTTAGTTTGAAAATTAAACAACAGAAGTCTTCTTCTTTTAGGGTATACATTTTTTATTCCAAACAATTTAACCAAGCTTGGTTGCAAGTTCCTTGGCCTTTGCCTTCTCCAGCTTAGTGATGCGGGCTGTGGATTTGGGACCCATGATGTTACCTCCCCAGTGACGGCGGATCTGGAAAATGAGATTGCGAACAGTTAAAATTTGTACAATTTGTTTTAGGATTTGTGAAATGTAAACACTGCTAACTGAGTAATGGCTATTCACCTCCTCGTATCTGTCATTGTAGTTGGTCTTGATGGCTTCCACGAGCTTAGCAAGTGCACCTTTGTCCTCACTAGGAGTAGGGAAAAAAAAAGAAAAAGAGAGAGAGAAAAGATGGTCAATGCAGTACCGACACTTGTATTCAGATGACTAAATTTTCCTGTCTGAAAAGTCACTTCAAATTTATACATATTGTGGTCCCTGATTAAAAAGTCAACTGCTGTAGAAAATAATCCAAGCAAATTTGAAGATGTGAACTAAGATCTCACTCCAGAGGAAGTATCGAATCTTTTCTCCAGCCAGTTATTGAACACGTACTAAAAATCATTTGCCAAACTTCACTGTCACACTTGGGCACAGTTCAGTGTATGTTCATACTCACGGGTTAATCTGTGTGAAGGCAAATGAAGTGCATGTCTTTCTGTGCACCAGTCTGCCCAGTCTAGCCTTCCCCTTCACGATGCAGTAAGGGACACCCATCTTGCGGCACAGAGCAGGCAGGAAGACCACGAGCTAGAAATTCAGGGGAGCCACAGGAAGTATTAACATTTCAGGAAGCAAAAAATTTTGAGTTTATCCATGGAGTGTGGCAATCATATTGCCTTTTACAAAAATGAATAAATGATGACTTGTTTTTCATTTGTGGTCTGTGCTCAGGGTTAAAAAGCTCGTATGTTTTGATCCACACAGAGGATTCAGGTGAAGAAATTCAGACATCATTGCCAGAGACCACTTTTTACACTAAACTGAACCCAACATGCATTCACATATTACACCAATCTCACCTCAATAGGATCCACATCATGGGCAATGACGACCAGCTGGGCCTTCTTGCTCTCCACCAGAGAGGTGACGGTGTTCACACCTGCAGAGAGCGAAAACCAAAAGGCAGAAATTAAAATGTTTGATCCACCAACTTAATCCAGAAAAACTTTTCATTATTTTTTGGCCAACGCTCAGGGTTAAAAAGCTCAAAAACCATCACAGCAAGTTTCAGGTGAAGAAATTCTGGTCATCACTGCATTGAGGCCAAGTCAGATGAGGCTGAACTAACAAGAACACAAAATAGGTTCTAATGCACAGTTTAAGACTGTTTAGGAGCAAACCTACAATTCCAGCAGCACTCCTGAAATACATAAGACCGAGCTGCCAACTAGGCCAGCACAAGTCTTAAACTTTAATACATTTTTACTAAACTGTGGAGCTTAACAAAGACAGGACTTTGTTCAATCAAACTCACCTGCACGGATAATGGGAGGCCTCTTTGTTGGGGCATCTCCCTTTCCAGCAGCCTTCTGCTCAGCACGAGCCAGCAGCCTCTGCTTCTTCTCCTGCTTGGTCTCGGGCCTGTACTTGTGAGCCAGCTTGAACAGCTGAGTGGCTGTGGAAGAAACCAATTAAAATTAAAAATGTAAACACTGAAATTTGGGCAACAAGTTTGGCTTACTACAAAGCTACCATGATTACAAACACATGCATCAGTGATCTTGGTGGAAATCGTCCGCATAACTGGTCAGATAGCAAATACTCTTTCACATCACTTGCACAGTGAAACAGTCCTTCTTAGAACCCACATGACAACTCTGACATACTGCCATACAGAAGAAAACCACTTGCTTGTACTTACCAGTCTGGCGGTCCAGAGCCTGGGTGAACTGGTTGATCGCAGGGGGAACCTTCAGACGCTTGTAGAGGATGGAGCGCTGCCTCTGCAGGCGGACGTAACGAGGCCATTTCACAAAGCGTGTCAAATCACGCTTGGGCTGAATATCCTGGCCTGTGGTAAAGCACAACAAATTCATCATTATCTACCATTAAACAGAAACTTTCTCTTAATTTAATGTTAATATAATGTGCATCAGCGATCTTGGTGGGAATATTGTCATCAGTGGTATTAAGATAGCAAATATTCTTTTACATCATCTGCACCTGTATGACCACTAGCTTATGCCCCCAATAAAGTGGCACCTGCAGATACTCACCGATGCCAAAGTTCTTGGGCCTCTTCTCGAACAGGGGGTTGACTACTTTCTTGGCCTCATGCTTCTTGGCCACTGAAGGGGCTGGTGCCACCTTCTTCCCCTTAGCCTTCTTTCCCTTAGGCTGTGGAAAAGGGAACAGTGTGTTACAGAAGCATAAACACAAGCAACTTTAACCTAACATGATTATTAACTTGTAAACATGTTACTCCGCATGTAAACTTACAACACTGCTCTACCTTTCCCAACCATGTCAGGGAGTTGCTTAGCCTAGCTTTAGCAACTACCCTTGTCAATTTCCCACAAAATAATTTTTAAATCTAGCAAAAATACAATCAAAAGACCACTTTAGTTTGGTTTTTTTTTTAGAGCTGTAATGCAAAAAGCAAGAAATAAACCCCAAAAGCCAGAGAATGACTTCAGAGCTCAACTAATCTCCATGCTGCTACACCAACACGTAAGGGATGTCATACACACTGAACTAAAGACCGATTCAGGATGATAACGTATCAATGAAAACGTAGGTAAAACTTGCGTGTTTGTGAATACATTCAATAAAAGACAGAAACACAACTAATGTGAGGCCAAAAGGAAGGTTAATACCGACCCACGCTCAGGCCCATTCCCTAATGCTAGTCAGTAAACTAGCAGGGCACACAAACTTGTACCCCGGTAGTATTGTACTTCTACTTTACAAAATACATACAACCGTCTGGAAAATTAAAAAGAAAAACACAAAAATTAAATAAAAACAAAACAAAAACGAGCTTCTAAAACAAGCATGTTCATCGCCTTTAGCTTCAGCACTCCACAGGCAGCCACAGCACTGTTAGCACCGGTTACACATCGACCAACACAACCTAAGTTTTTCGCAAAAACAACACGGCATCAAAGCACAATATTAACATCACGGCCCTACACAAAGTTCAAAGACTTAATTGGCACTTTCTACAGTATAAAAATATAAATGTATGAAAGGATGCAAACAGATACAACAGATAACATATTTCCCCCAGAAGGAACAGCTATGTACCCACCATGTCGGTTCAGGCAGAAAGGAAGACCGGGGCATGCTGGGTAGCGTAAATACCGCGAGGCTTGCTGGGTGTTACGTGGCTTCCAAAAGTGCCGATCTGAAGTCAGATTTTACAGCTACCTGCCAGTTCAAGCTTTGTTTCTTAAAAAACGGAATACTGACTCGGAATCTGTGTTACACTGACGTATTAATGATTGGGATTTATTTTAATTTTCTTTGCCGCACTGATAAAACATATTATTCTAAACATTTATATGAATGAAAAATTAACATTAACGTTTTGTTTTAAAAGCATAGGATTTTTTATGACGTAGTAACGTCATACCACACATTTCTAGTTTAGTTTCACTTTATTTTAAAAACGAAAACTTAAAAAGTAGAAGAAAATAAACAGTAATAATTGATTTAACTTTATTTTATTGATCATAGTAATTCTGTACTGCAGTTTATGACCATTTAGTTTGTTTAATACAATTTGACAAGCATAAAATAGTATTTTGCCAACAATATGATTCCCAAAACTTGGCATGGTGTGCAAAAACTGAGGAAATCAGACCAGTAGTTGTGTTCTGTGTATTTACCGATATCTAAAAGTTTTCCTTTGAACTTAGCAGCCAGGGTTTTAGATTAAACCCTGAGGGTGTGCCATGTCTGTCCAGCATCCTCACCTGCCACCTGATCCAACTGACCACCACACAGCTTGTTGCTGTTCAACTGCCTGCAGCTGCCATGCCACCACCTACTCAACCGCCTGCAGCTGCCACACCACCAACTACCTACGGCTGCCACGCTGCCATCTGCTCAACTGCCTGCAGCTGCCATGCTGCCACCTGCTCAACCGCCTGTGGCCTCTACACTGCTTTTAGGCCCAGTCGCATCTCTGCCTGAGCCAGAGGTCAGCATGCCGGAAGGACCTGCTCTGCCCAAGCCAGAGGTTCTGTGGGCTGTCTGGACTTGCCATGCCCACGCCAGAGGTCTGTTCTTTGTGGGGACCTATTCGACCTACCATAGCCTGAGCTGCTCAGCCACAGTTGGCAGCTCCAGCATATCGCTGGTCATCTCCCATGCCACGCCGCCACTGGACCTGTGGTCAGCATCAGAACTTTTTCTCTGCCACTGCCAGATCTGCAGCAGGCCACCAGAACAATTTCTCCACCGCTGCAGGACCCGGGTTGCTTTGGGTTTAATGAATATTGTGATTCAATAAAAGGACTAGCTGTTACAATCCCTGATATTGCATTGCTTCTAATGGAGAAAGTCTTGAGGGATGGCTACTATGAGGAAAGGCAGCCTGGAAGCTTTACCAGCAGGACACATCATCAGTTGTGTGCTTTAACTTCACAGGGTGTTTCGGCCTTTTATCACAAGACACCATCAGCTCAGGCAGGCCCACCACAGGGCATGTGTCTTACATCCTCCCACAGTACCATCAGCTCAATGACATAAGCAAGTTTTTGAGAGTTAGGCCAAAAGACAAGGTCTGGTCACAAATGAGGTGTAACAATTTCTGTGGGGAAAATTAGTCTCTCATCCAAGTCAGCTTGCATCTGCCAATCCCTGGCGACCTTCAGCGGTTCCAGATCCGGGGGTTGAAGAGCTAGTTCTTAGCTTGTCCTACTCCTGGACAAATACCGATGCTCCTCTTGGTTTGTGAAAGGTTGGGTGTTAATGGATTCCCTTTTGTACTCAACTTTTTCAGCTAGACACCCGAGGACCTGGTTGTGTCTCCATGTGTACCTGCCTTGAGTAAGGCTAGTCCTACAACAAACCAAAATGTTCTTGGTGTTGCTGGGTGTGCACACAGGGGGCAGGATGGGTCCTTTCCAAACCAAAGCTGCAGATTTATGGGGAAAGGCAGCACATCATATGTGGCTCAGATGATGAAACTTAGCCTATTACACTCCATTCTGCAGATTTCACTCCATTGAGTTTCCTCTTTTCAAGACACTCCCAATTCATCCAGCGACCCTGCTTGGCCAGCGCTACAGCTCTGGCATTTCTTTTTTTATTCAAAATATTGAGTATTTGTGGATATAGTTTACAAAGAAAAAAAGAAGATGGAAAAACACAAACTGTTTACAATGAATACAAAACAGAACTCATGTTGGAACATTGTTTTCTTCTCTTATTATTTACCAAACAAGCAACGAGAAACCCCCCCCAAAACCGGCCAAAAAACAAAAAGAGAGAAGAAAAAACGAAAACACCTTGCTCTTTGCTTGGTGAATATACTTATCATCCTCTCCCCCTGTACCAAAGGGAGCAAGTAGGGGGTTGAGAGCTAGTTTCAGGCTGGTAGCCTTGTTCAAAGTGCAGAAAACCTCCTCCCAAAAATTTGCCAGGGCAGGGCAGGTCCAAAACACGTGGGTTAGATTGGCATCATTAGACCCGCACCTGTTACATTGAGGGTCTAAACTGGGATGAAGCTTAGCTAGTTTGGATTTAGATAAGTGGGCCCTGTGGACTACTTTGAATTGTAGCAGGGAATGACGGGCGCAGAGTGATGTAGAATTTACCAGAGAGAAGACTGAGACCCAGACGTCATCTGACATAGATATACCCAACTCCTTCTCCCATGTGGACTTGAGGCCCACAACAGGAGCTGGGGTTACACTGCACAGTTTGTTAAAGATGCGAGACATTACAGCTTTGCCTGATAGTTGCAAATTAAGGAGCTCGTTCAGTAACTTAGCAGCTGGAGCTTCTTGAAAATTGGAGAGGTGGGACTGCAAAAAATGTCTGAGGTGTAAATATCTATAAAAGTGCGTTTTGGGAAGACTGTATTTTCCTGCCAGCTGATCAAATGATGCTAGTTTATTGTGTATAAAGAGATCTTTAAAGCAAATAATACCTGCTCTAAACCAGACCTGGAACAAGTTGTCCAAAGTTGGTGGGAGGAATAGGTGGTTTGAAAGGATGGGGCTTTGAAGTGAAAAATTATTCAAATTGAAATGTCTCCTGAACTGCGCCCACACCTTCCCCAGACTGTAACCAGTAGGTCAGGGACCGAATATTGGCAGCCCAATAGTAAAAGCGGAAGTTAGGGAGTGCCAGACCCCCTTCAGTCTTAGGTTTCTGTAAGTGCACCTTAGTTACTCGAGGTCGTTTACCCTTCCAAATATAAGAGGAGATTATAGAATCTAGAGTTGTAAAGAAAGACTTGGGGATGAAGACCGGTAAAAATTGAAATAAGTATAAGAATTTAGGAAGGATATTCATTTTAATTGAATTAATTCGTCCGACCAGAGTTGTGTTCAGGGGTGACCACTGTTGAAGGCTTTGTTTGACATTCTTCAATAGTGTAAAAAAGTTGGCTTTGACAAGTTGTTTATACTTTCTTGTAATTGTGATACCCAGGTAGGTGAACTGCTCTTTGAACACTTTAAAGGGGAAACCTGACAAATCTATTGGAAACGCTTCTTCATTTAATAGACAAAGTTCGCTCTTGGACAGATTTAATTTATAACCAGAGACTTGACTGAAATGCATGAGTAGTGACAATATAGACGGTAGGGAAGTATTTGGATTTGAAATAGAAAGCAATAAATCGTCAGCATAGAGAGAGCCTTTGTGTTCAGTTTGATCTCTTTGTATAACCTGGACAAGTTTACTGCTTTGAAAAAGCATTGCTAAGGGTTCAATAGCTAGATCAAATAACAATGGGCTAAGGGGGCAACCCTGACGTGTGCCTCGTTTAAGTTGAAATGGTTTTGATTTCTGGCTATTAGTGCAAACAGACGCAACAGGGGACAAGTATAGGTACTTGATCCATGAGATGAAGTTGGGACCGAATCCAAATCTTTCCAGCACAGCAAATAGATAGTTCCATTCTACACGGTCAAATGCTTTTTCCGCATCAAGGGAAAGAACACATTCTGGAGTGTCCTTGGACGGCGTGTGCAGGATATTAAAAAGGCGTTGGATGTTGAAAAAGGGGTGGCACCTTTAACAAAGCCAGACTGATCTTCAGGTATGACTGCTGGCAGGACCCTTTCCAACCTGTGGGCCAGCGCTTTAGCTAGGATCTTAAAGTTAACGTTCAAAAGCGAAATTGGCCTGTATGATGCACACTCACTTGGATCTTTCCCCTGTTTCCAATTAAAGTTATGGAAGCATCGTGCCAGGAGGTTGGCAGTTTGCCCTGTGTGAATGCTTCAGGTAGAACTGAGTGGAGTAGAGGTACGAGCTGTGGGGCAAATGATTTGAAAAATTCTACTGAAAAGCCGTCTGGGCCAGGGGACTTCCCTGACTGTAGAGAGAAAATTGCAGCGCAAATCTCTTTTTTGGAAAATGGCGCATCCAAGATCTCTCTGTGGGTGTCTGCCAGCTCAGGAAAGTCCAAGCTTTTAAGAAAATGTGTGATTGGTGAGTGGTCGGTGGGAGATAGCTCTGGCATTTCTGGCTGCATCCTCCTGTCGACGCACCTCCTCCACCATTATATTTCAACATTCGGTTACAGATGCCTGTTACCAGAAAGGTGTTACTGCTCCAAGACCAACCCTCCTCTGCCCTGTTGGACGTTGCCCACGATAGAGAAGAGCAGATTTGGCCTGTAGCACAGCCGTGGCTGGGGTTCACTTCCTCCCCGTTGCTAGGGTGGGAGCAGCGCCTCTCAGTCCCAGGAGTCTGTGAGTGATATCTCCAGCCTCACTTTTGCACATTTGAACTCCTCTGCTAGGTTAGGGATAGGCAATGACAGTATCCTGTCGCTGTAGAGTCCAACACTGCTTAGGCATTTCGGAAGTCCAAGCCACTTCCTCATGTAGGTGCTCACTAGCCTCTCCATTCGATTGGCATGATTAAGCGAGACCCTGTACATCATCAGTGGCCACAGTAGTCTGGGTAACAACCCAAACTGTAAGCACCAGAGCTTCAGTTTCTCTGGGAGTGTGGTGTTGTTAATCTGCCTGAGGTCATTAGCCATGTCATGCCGTATTTGGCCCATGTCAGTTGTTAGTTTTGACTAGCCACAAATGCAGTTCTGCAGCTTCTTTCCTACCAGCATTGATGGTCCAATAGTTGCAATGCTGGTTAATCTATTCATCGTTGATACCGTTCCAAGGTCCATTGCCATAAAATCTGTCTCAAAATGGTCGTCTTCCGTCCCCACTCTCACAGACCCAAGACGTGTCTTCTCCTTTGAAGTTTTTGTAGCAATATTGGGTTTACCAAAAAACGGTCTATTAGATTCTCAGGATTGTCTATTGTTGTTTATTTGGTATTGTCTGCTCCTGGTCCCTCGTTTCCCTGTGTACATGTAAGGGTGTGTGTGCTGTGATGTTCGGGTTTTGCTGCCACACCAGGGCTTGAGAGTCTTCCCGCCTTAGAGCCAGCCACACCTGGAGTAATCACATTCAAATCAAATCAAATCAAATTCAAATTTTATTTGTCACATACACAGTCATACACAGTACGATATGCAGTGAAATGCTTACACAACTGCTCATGACCTAAAGAAAAAAAGAAAAGGCTATGAATAAGATAGGAAATAAATATGAAAATTAAAAAGGGTAAATTTAACTAGGAAGGAATAAAATAAAATTAAATATAAAAATTAAAGTTAAAAATGAAATAACTGTACAACACAAATTAGAATGAAGGGTAAATTTAACTGGGAAAGAATAAGATAAAATATATAAGTTAAAGTTGAAAAGAAAATAACTGTACAAAAAAATACACAATACACAGTATAGAAATATATAAGAATGTATGAAGAAATATAAATATATATATACAATAACAGCAGCCGTACAAGTATTAAATGGAAATGAAGAAATATAATGTCCAGTGTTGTGCAATCCACATTTGTAAGTGTCTTGTGCAGTGGAAATATCACCTATTACTGATCAGCCTTGTCAAGGAAGCACTACTTAAGAGAGTAGCGGAGCAGTGCTAGGCGCAGGTTCGTTGTATTAGGAACACAGTTCTCCTGCTCATAAGGTGAAGATGTACTAACTGAAGTGTCTCTTGTTTCCAGGAGGATTGCAGAAACGTGTGGCGGGAGCTGGGCACCTATGTACATAGACTCAGAGGATAGAGGAACATTTACTGTGGACCACGGAGGAAAATCACTGCATGGGAATTGAGGAACTGTCGCACAGAGAACTCACACACTGTGAATTATTAGTACTTTTGTTGGTATTCTTTGCTGTAAATAAACACACTGTCTACATTCAGAAAGTCCTGCATTTGGGTCCTACTTCTGCCAAACCGTGACACTGTTGTTGGGACTGCTGTCCCCTTCCCCAGACTCACTTTTAAAACATCATTTAAGTACTGCATTTTATATTTATTTTGGGATTTCACTGCATAACATTAACATTTGCTTGATAATTTCGGCTAAGATGCCCTGATGAATATATATTTGGTGTCCTGACAGCTGCTATTTATACTATGGAAAGGACTACTTTCTTTCTCTTAAGAAAAATGATTTTGATTAAAACTGTGGGATAAGTGGGTCAAATATGGTAAACCTGTAAAATTATATTTTGTGCAGGTCCTAGGTGAATTTCATGTATGTTATTTTAATCTACTTATTTGTTTATTTTTTTGTATCTATACAAAAATATTGTATATATGTTCATATATTACTTAGTGCCTGAACCTATCTCCACTCATAATCTGTGTAAAGAAATCTTTGAATGCCAGAGGCCAAAATTACTCTAGCTTCATTTAAATTGTCTGAAATTGTGAAAAGAAAATGTGACAAATATGAGCCCCGTACAAAAAACAAAAGAACAAAAAAACAAACAAACAAAACCAAACAATCAAACAAGAAAAACTAAACTAAACAAGAAAAGACAAATGGGGAAGGAGACACACTGTTTTTTTCACGGCACTGTAAACAGTCAACCGATGGACTCGAGGGACCCATTTAACTTACGTACCTCTGACATACGTACAGTATTATGTCACTTCCGTAAATAGGGACTTTTACGAAATCGGAGCGCACTTTGCGGTTTATGAATCTATATGTATCTATATATACAAATAAAATAGTTATGAATCAAATGTTACTCAGGAAACAGATCTATTATTAAAAAAAGAAGAGAGCCTTCATTTTCATCAGCGGAACTGAATTTGCATGTGCTGACCTAACGGTGGCCGGGGCTGACGTCTCCTCCTTCAGCCTGACGTCGTCCCCAGTGGTCGTGCGTGCCGTGCCGGGCCTCTCTGCAGATGGAGGTGGCGCGGGGGGGAGGTTGTTTGGGGATGGTTTGCCGGGATATCGCGTCACCTCCTCGGTGTCTTGCTAGCATACTGTCACCTGCTCGCATTCAGCACGAGCTGTTTGCACGGACATGAAAAGTAAGATTTCGGGTCGCGGTAGCCGCTCCTGTTTGTGAGCCCTTTGTAAAGCACGTCGCTGCGGGCCAGGAGATGTTTCGTGAGCTTTGGTGGGTAAACAGAAGGCCTTTACCTTTGCAGGGTTGACAGCTTCTGTTTAGGGGCTTGTTGTCTTCGCGGTAATGACAGACTACAGCTGCTGCTGCATCTGCTTTTGAGCTATCAGCCAGAGACGAGGTGAGTGCGATGTCTGTCTGTGTATTTGGTGTTGAGGTGATGGAGCTAGCGTTAGCTTGCAGCAGCCCCTTTCTGAAGACTTTATTGCTATTAATGGCCTGTCACGTTTGCAGACGTCCACCAGAAGAAGATAGTTGGTAACTATGGCTGAACAAGACGTTTGCCCCCACCTCGATTCAATAGGCGAGGTGACAAAGGAGGACCTTCTGCAGAAGTCTAAGGTGCGCTTTTCATACAGTGAAGCTGCTGTCAGATGTAAAATATACCCTGTTGTGGATGGCGACTGAAATAAGCACTTCAGCTGTGTTGTGCTCATGTAATATCCATGCATATAAACTTCTTCTTCTTTACTATGTTGTGTTAATATTGCCTGTAGGGAACTTGTCAGTCATGTGGAGCTGGTGGTCCAAACCTGTGGGCCTGTCTGCAGGTAAGGTTAGGACTTAGATCCTGTTAAATACCTTACGTTATTATCTGAAATCGTTAGCTATAAAGCTAAAAGGTGGCTTAAATTCTAAGCCAACACTGCACTTAGCATATATCATCAGAGACTGGAGGGCCAGGTGAATGCTGAATAATTAATGTTAGCGTGGAGTATAAATGTGCTTAAAAATGCAGTTCCTCTTCAGTTCAGGAAAGCGATAAAGGGTGTTGATTGATTTTTGGATTCTGAACAGAGAAGCAAAAAGGAAGGAGATCCTATCTTACATTGTGTCTGATTTGCAGAATGACTGCCCGTATGTCGGGTGCGGAGAGTCCTACTCTGATCACAGCACACTGCATGCACAGGTACGGCCCTTTCATACAAAATTTATTTGCAAGCCCCTTTTTTTAAATTAGTAGTCTATAAGCAGATTGTGTGCTTCCTTTTTAGGCTAAGAAGCACAACCTTACCGTGAATCTGACAACGTTCAGGATCTGGTGTTATGTGTGTGAGCGAGAGGTGTTTCTGGAGCACAGGCCGGCCCTGGTGCCCGTAGCTGCTGCAGCACACCTCTGTAAAGCTACAGAGCAGGTATGAGTTCAACCCAGCTCATGTTTTTATGTTAAGTGTCTTACTAGTGGAATTTACATTTTAACATAAGAACAAGAAATACACACACACACAAGATGCTTATAATATTTGTTTATTCTCTTCCTAGGAAACCTCTCCCCAGACAGTTGGTCACCCACTCAAAGCGGTACCGATTGCTGTGGCCGAAGAAGAAGGCTCAGAGTCAGAAGAGGATGAGCTTAAACCCAGAGGTATATATGCATGCATGCTTGATCAGCTTCAAACATTTCTAGACTGGTGGTCAAAGCTGCCCTGGTTTCTTTTTATTCAGGCCTTGAAGGTTTTTCTTTTCTCTCTGACTTGTACAGCAGTCTTTATGTCTAAGATGTTTAGTTTGAACGCTTTCAGAGGGTATAAAGTGTTTCATGATTGGTGATCTTTTTTTGGATCTTTGTTTGTAGGGTTGACAGGAATGAAAAACATCGGAAATTCCTGCTACATGAACGCAGCTCTTCAAGCCCTGTCCAACTGGTGCGTGCTTTTCCTCCTAAAATGTAGAACAACTTTAATGTTTGTTTTGGTTCTAATCAGGTTAATCATTGGACATATTTCAGTCAAACAATAAAGCTTCTCTTTTGTTTTACATCTACTACTAATGTTAGAGGTGCTTTAACCTCAGCTGTCCCTCTTCCCCCTCATTAGCCCTCCTCTCACTCAGTTTTTTCTGGACTGCGGTGGATTGGTAAGGACTGACAAGAAGCCTGCTTTGTGTAAGAGCTACCAGAAACTCATCTCAGAACTCTGGCATAAAAAACGGTAATTAAAGCATCACAGTGATTGTATGTAAACTGGACAACAAACTAGTGTTTAGTCATTAAAATGAAAACATAATTGCATGTCTCTTATTACTGCTCCCCTCTCAGGCCCAGCTATGTTGTCCCTACCAGCCTGTCCCACGGCATCAAACTGGTGAACCCCATGTTTCGTGGTTACGCTCAGCAGGTAGGGCTGTCCGCCCGGCATGCTTCAACAGCATCTTGACACTGTCCTTTTATTGGATTTTATATCATTAAACCCTTGGATTTGCAAAAAATGCTTTTCACAAGATTACTCGGTTGTGTATTTTAAAGTGCAGTCCATTGTTTTTGACTCAGTTTTAAATCTGCAGTTTGTCTCCCCCTTGTGGCAGTTAAAGCAAGTACACAAACATGGTTGATTGGCCTTTGACAAAGAGAAATCCACATTAGTGTTAATTCCTGTTTTCCTTTATCTTTAATCACTTTCATTGTTAGACTACAAGCCTTCCGTCAAATGCCATTTGTCTGGAGGGGGAACTAGACAAAGTAATAGGAAATGGATTTTTTTTCTTTTAACATAAAGACAGGAATTGAATTTCCCTTTCCCTTCTGAGAGGCTGCTTAATCTGAAAGATAACTGCTCCTTGGAATAACACAGGCTTTACTTCTGTTGTTCTGTATCCTTCATATTTGAATACTGAAAAGACCGAGGGCTTCATTTTTACCCAGTTATGTTTCATGGCACGTCTAAGGATAAACTTCAAGTCAGACTTAGTATTTTAGTTTGTCTGATCCTATTTAAAGAGAAAATGCAGACAGTCACACAGTATCGAGATATCTCCAATCCAGTTTCTTGTTATTTTTTCCATATTTTCTCGGTGGCTTAGTTAATGTTTGATTTGTCTGTTTACGCAGTGGCTGTGATCAGCACATGGTATCTCGCTAATGTGCAAACCGATTTTTTGTTACTCCAATGTTTCTGTCTTTTTGCTTGCAATATTTGTGTTTATCTATTGTCCATTTACAAATGTTCTCCGTGAATGCGGCCCTATCCATGCAGTTAATATAAGGTTTCTGTGTTGTCCAGGACACTCAGGAGTTCTTGCGCTGTCTGATGGACCAGCTACACGAAGAGCTGAAGGAGCCTCTGTCGGAGTGTAACGTGGGCTACGACGGGAGCGACGGGGAGGACAGAAGAGACGGAGACCGCTCCCCCTCTGAGGATGAGTTCCTCTCCTGTGACTCTGGCTCCAGTAGTGACCGAGGGGAGGGAGGAGGGGTGGGTGACAGCGAGCTGCTCATCCAGGATGAGTGTGATGGGATACGGTCACCGGCAGGTGGAATGGGGGACGTCAGTAGTGGTGCAGTGATCTCTGAGAAGGAGAGGCTTAAAGAAAGGAGGTTACCCGGCTCCCCGCTCCGTGGAGGCTCACAAGAGATGGATGAAGATGCTGATGTGGACACAGCAGTTGAGGAAGGGTCTCCAGAAAGGAGGGCGGAGGATGAAGAGGAGCCTGCAGCCCCAAACACAGAGGTCCAAAGTCAGGAAAACCATCAGACGTCTAACACAGGGCAAAGTCAAGTCCCGAGCAACAACAGCTCAGGTACAAGACCAGCAGGAACACAGTGATTTTATATATTTATATATCTATATATTTATATATTGGATTATTCAGTTATGTATTGTAGAATATCATCAGTTATCATTAAGTTTGTGTTTCCACTGTGATGTTTTCTAGAGCCAGACAATGAAGCATCGATGACCCAGCCCCAGTCCACTCCCTGCAGTCCTGTGCGCACCCTTCAAGAGCTGCATCCCAAACTGTCCTCCAGTCCCCCCCGGTCCAGCCCTCTCCGCTCTTCAGGACCTGCATACTCCTTCAAAAAAGGTGAGAAATTTTCTCATAGACTGCTCAAGATGCTTCACAATTTTAACAGAGTCCCCAGGTTGAGAAACATTTGCCTCGGTAAAACACATTTTTACCGCACTACCGTGGTAGTCGCATGTACAGAACTGTAAGTAAACAACATAGGATGCTTCTTAATGTTTCACATATGAAGCAGGCGAGTCTTTGCCTGTAGAATCACACTGTCCAAAGTGGAGTTCTTGAGTCTTTCTAAGTTTTTTATTTTTGGAGATGTTGGCTGCTTTTACACTCATTTTCACTCCAAGGTTTAGGTCAGGTGACTGTGGAGGCTCACGTGACTCGCGTATCATTCAAACCGTCAGTCGGTTGGAAAAAACACATAATTTATTCCCATTTCTTTGGCTGAATTTAAAATGTCAATGATAACACAGTTTGATAGGCATAAAGTAGTACTTTGACACATATTAGCTGAAAACTTGGGATGTCTCATCATGGTGTGCAGTGTGGCCTTTAAAAAATGAGAAAACTGGACAAGTGAAGGATGAATGAATTAGTGGCAGGCATTAAAAGGTATGTGTAGCTGCTGAATAGTATCTGAAAGTCATTTTCAGTTTGAGTATACACAGTTACAAAGATGTTAGTTAAGGTGGCACTCTTTGAGATGCTCTCTGCCTTTGTCTTCTGAAGCCAGCCCTCCCTCCCATCATGTGTCTTCCAGCTCAGCTGCTGCTCAGTGCCAGGAAGAAAAAACAGTCTCACTATCGCAGTGTGATCTCGGACATCTTTGATGGTTCGATCCTCAGTCTAGTCCAGTGTTTGACCTGTGACAGGGTAAGATGCACTTCACATATTTGAACACAAGGGGGAGGTAGAGTATACGCTTGATAAAATATGTTTATTTGTTAAATTATATTACATTTCCTATCAAAGCAGGTTTAAATGAAATGAAGTGACTTGTGCAATTATTTCATTTCAGTATTATACAGACTTTTTTGTGTAATTAGAGTGATTAAAACACATTCATAATTGCTCTTTTACTGCTAGAGGTATGCTGTTTAAACTGGTTCTCTGAATTTGGTACAGGTCTCAACTACAGTGGAAACCTTCCAGGACTTATCCCTCCCTATTCCTGGTAAAGAAGACCTAGCAAAGCTCCATTCATCCATCCATCAGAACCTGCCGGTGAAGACTGGTGTGTGCCCTGACACTTACGGCTCGCAGGGGTGGATCTCCTACATCATGGACTCCATACGGCGGTCAGTGAATGAAATATAATTGAAAAAGGCTGAGACGACGTTTGCATGTTTGACCCTTAGTTGTGCATAATTTTGACTGCTGATGTTACCGATATACTTTTAATCTGGTATGTTTCTGACTTCAGTTTCCTGTAACTTCAGATGTAGTTAGATAAGCTTTCTATATGCCTGCAAGGTAACATTTTTACAGAATTAACAGCGAGTAGAAACTTGCTTGGCCTGTCAGTTTTTTTCAAAGTTTTTGTGTATTTCCTGAAAATGAATCATAAAACTACAAAAGCTTCTTATTTAGCTAGTCTTTTCAGTAGGTGCTGCAACACGTGTCTGTGTGTTCGATGATGAATATGAACGCATGTGCTATGCCAGATCTATAAACTAAATAGATCTAAAAAATGAATAGTTTATTTCCTGTAACTAGCAATCACTTTGCTAGTTAGAGGAAGTGTATTGCAGGTGATGTCTCATAGATAACTTCCTTCAATGATTTATCACATTTTTTTCTGAAAATGTGCTGATAAAACAGATAAAGTTTGTGTGTAGGACATGTAGAGAGGCCATCTAGAGTCACTCAGTTACTCATTGGTTGGACAGATTTGGTAAACTTAAGGTGGCTCTGAAATGCACTACACTTACACTTTTCAGCAAAAATACTCTGGATAGTGACGTCACACGGTTGCACCGCATCGAGTTAACAGTTAGCAGTGCCCTGGAAATGGGTTCTGTTCAACCTTTCCAGTTTGAACCAGAGCAATCTGAGAGAGGATGAAAATAGTCAACCAGTACTTAGTTTAGATGAAGATGAAAACAATCCGTCACACGAGGATGTGAAAGTGAGGGAAAACTACTGGTGTCTATGCAGCTACTGCTTGCCAATGGCAATGGTGTCGTGCCAAATTATGCATCCCTGACAGGGACCCAGAGTGCACTGAGAAGTAAATAACAATGGCGGCCTACTGGTAAATTGGTTTTGTATAAAATGTGCCTGAAAGGAAAACATTTGGCGTATTTTAATACCACATATATGTTATTGGAAGCACAGTGCATATTTTAGCGCAAACATGTGTTAATAGCCGGGGTTCCCTTTAAAAGCTACTCCTTTGATTTCATAATAACACTCAAGCAATGGTGGAAGAGGGCTTTTATTGTTTAACCCAGATTTATTCTCTTTTTAAAAAAGAGAATAAATCTTTTAGAGATTTAGAGCATCTTTGAACTCATTACTGTTTTTGTTTTTTGGCTTAAAACATTACCGTATTTCCCGGACTACAAAGCGCACCTGAATATTAGCCGCACAAGCTAAAATACCACGTACCTGACCAACATACCACTCTTGAACCCCGATACTGTGTGTCTGATCATATGCCCTTCCGCCAGGCAACGTAGTGCCGTACAACAGCGGAACAAACAAAACAAATCGTCTTATGATATGACAAAACTCATGGATAATCCATAGAAAAGCCGCACCTGACTAAAAGCGGCAGGGTTCAAAGCTTGTGCAAAAAGTAGCGGCTTATAGCCCGACAATTACGGTACTCTTTTGGTTCGGTCTCATTGGTAAGTGTATTTTTCCAAAAATCACCATCAAACTACCTGTGCACGTATGTTGGCACTATACAGGCAGAGCATCCGGAGACTAAAGAGCCAGATATCTCCCTCAGGAAGGAGTGCAGATAAGATCTGACCTATAAGGTCATACTCCTACGCTTTGTTTGCGTCATCATAGCTCAAAAATTCATGTTCACATTACTACTCTGCTGTGATGGCACAGACTAGTTTATGAAGTCTTGTTTCAAAGCTTTGACTTTTACCTTCACGGCTGTTGCAATCTTGATATTATGGAAACAGAAGTGGCCGTGTTTTGACAATGCTGTTATCAGCTAACACAGGGGTCAGCTTTTTCCCCATGAGAAACCGGGACTGTTGTGGAGCGCTGCAGGTAGAAATATGAAGGACAGCAGACAGGTGATCATCACTGAGAGGGGATTTGTTAAACTTAGTCACTAAGCATATTTATTGACATATGAAGGTAGAGCCAAAGAGCGTCTTCTGATACACGGAAATCTCTCCTCTTTGAGAGAACGATAAAGATCCAGCAGTGATGATGATGTGAAATACTAATGATTCGGTGCTTTTGCTCTTGCAACATGGTTCATTTTTAGCAATGACTTACACAACACTTCCTGGTGTATAATTCAGTGCAAAAACATCAATTTCAGTTCTGTGTTCATTTCAGTCACTTTATCTTTCTTCAGATTTAGACAGCCATTCGTTGTAACACCTGCCAGTTTGTGCCGTTTCAGCTCCAGCCTATCCAAGCATGCGGTTACCGTCATGGACGAATCACTCCAGCTCCTCCATGATGTCAAACTCTCTTGTTTCACGTGTACATAGACTTATATTGGGCTGTGTTGCAGATATCACATTTCTCATCCGGTGGCAAGGAGAAAAAGTCAAAATTGTCTGCTTTGTTTTCAGCCGAAGCTTTAGATTTCCCCGAAATGTCCTCGTTCCTTCCTGTTAACAGTTTGCACATTTTCAAATGCTGTTTTATCAAGGTGTGTTAGTCCGGCCCAAAACGTAAAAATATTCTTACTGAGAATATTTTTTACTGTTTTTCAGTTGTTTTTGTGGGAACTCACAAAGCTGGTCTTGACCACCCCATACGTGGATGTGTAAAACTTTCACTCTCTAAAACAGTCAAGTTCTTCAAGTCTACGTGTTTCATCTTGTATTCATCTTTTCATCGTGGTGATTCAGTGGTGAATCACACTAATCTGCTCTACACAAACTAAGCATACAACTTTACCTCCAACTTCAGTAAATAAATTCTTAGAAGTCAAAGTCATTTTTAAAAACTACTTAAAAAACAAACATCCGCCTTCAAAATAAAAGCAACAAAATTACATTATGATTTGAAGCTATTCTCCAATGGAAATTTGGTGGTTACAATGGAAAACACTTGAGTGATTTATAATTATTTATATGAGTGCTTTTGGATGAATTGTTACTCCATTTTTTAGTTATTGGCAGGTAATTCTTATCAAATTAACCCAAAGTCGCCTCAGAAAGGGCGAGTGACTTCAGTTAGCTTTAATTAGCTCTGGTGGAGTCTTTGCAAAGACTCTAGTGATTATAGCGGACATCTGTAACCTTAAGATTTCCAGTTATTAAGTCACGCCCCCAATAACCTTAATTCTTAATACAATAAATATCATTTTGACTCGCTTTTGGAGCCAGCCCCAAACGGCCATTTCAAGGAATTGCAGTTTTCCAGATGTTCTAACTTTCACATCAGTCCATCCTCTAACTCACTTTGTTTTGTCTGAGAATCAAGCTTAAAGAATATTCAGGCTTATTAGTAAGAATGATTAAAAATGACTAATTGAAAAAGGGGAAACATTTTCACTATGTGATCAACTGCGCTGAAGTTTAGAGTTGCCTTTTAAAGCTAATATTTCTCCAGCTTGCTTTGGTTTTTTTTGTTTTGAGTATTTGTGTTTGTGTTGTGCAGGTTTGTAGTCTCATGTATCCCCAGTTGGTTTTGGGGGCCCATGGTAACACTAGAGGACTGCCTTGCTGCTTTTTTTGCTGCAGATGAACTCAAAGGTAATTGGTGCTCTAATAATGCTCCAATACTAGCATAGTTTATATGTCAGAATTTCAATTTCCATTCATTTTCTTTGTTTTTTCCCAGGGGATAACATGTACAGCTGTGAGAGATGTAAAAAGTGCGTCAAATTAAATGCTTGAAATATATATCCTTGATTTAAAAGGAGAGTACTTGTATGCATTTATTCACACAGTGTTTTCTTTTCTACAGGTTGAGAAATGGTGTCAAATACTGCAAAGTGCTTAGACTTCCAGAGGTGCGGTTTTCTTTTCTTTTTTCTTTTTACATTTTTGTTTTTTAGCTCAGCACTTTCTTTCAGTAGATAACACATCGGTTTCATTTGCAATCTGCTGCATAATGCCATCTTTAATTTCCTTGTTTTGTCCTGTATTTGCTGCGTAGATTCTGTGCATTCACCTGAAACGTTTTCGGCACGAGGTCATGTATTCGTTCAAGATAAGCAGCCACGTGTCCTTCCCGCTCGAGGGCCTCGACATGCGACCTTTCCTGGCTAAAGACAGTCCATCGCAAGTTACCACTTACGACTTGCTGTCAGTCATTTGCCACCATGGCACTGCAGGAAGTATGAGACCACAAAGTTTCCTGTTGATATATCATTTCCCTCGTGGGCAATATTTCCTCACAGAGCGAGCAAAACACATATCTGATTAGCCTCTGTCTCTAATATGTTTTGTCATGCTGTTTATGGGTGCAGGTGGGCACTACATAGCTTACTGTCAGAATGTAATCAACGGCCAGTGGTATGAGTTTGATGACCAGTATGTTACCGAAGTCCATGAGACGGTGGTGCAGAACGCAGAGGCTTATGTGTTGTTCTATAGGTGAGCAAAGGCGTCATTTACATAGACTCTACGCTAATTCGTCCAAGATGTGTTAAGTGATTTATTTCTATTGTACTCGTGCAGGAAAAGTAGCGAGGAGGCTGTGAGAGAGAGGCAGAAGGTGGTGGCTCTGGCCAATATGAAGGAGCCCAGCCTGCTGCAGTTTTACATCTCCAGAGAATGGCTCAACAAGTTCAACACCTTCGCTGAGCCAGGCCCCATCAGCAACCACACGTTTCTTTGTCAACACGGCGGTATGTGTGGTTAATAAGTCTCTTCTTTAAAATCAGAATTGCTCGCTTTACTTTCATGGCTCAGCCTGCAGCTTGGTATAAATATTTTTATTAAGTCGTCCACTGACTTGTCTTGATTAGAAAAACATGCCTGCACTGTCTTTATTAACGTGTTTCATCTCTGTGCAGGGATCCCTCCTAATAAATACCACTACATAGATGATCTGGTTGTGATTGTTCCCCAGAACGTGTGGGAATACCTTTACAACAGGTAAACGTGCTCCATGCTGCCAAACAAACCTCAGTATGACTATGTTACGACCTTGGCCTGGGATAACCTGGGCGTAACAAGAAATGTGATTCCCCCTCTCCAACTCCACCCAAGAAAGAGCCAAAACACAGAGCAATTGCAAATGCTATGCAGCTATTTATTGACTTCAGCAGTGAGCTATGGCAATGAAACAAACAAAAGATCTTCAAAGGTCCCTAATCTTCCCTGACCAAATTAAGAGTCAAACAAAAGACAATTTGCTCACCTAAACCCCTATCCAGTAAACAAGAGAAAAGAGGTTTTAATGATAAAGGTTTCTCACTCCTGTAGTGTTCAGTATATACAGTGAAACAGAACAAGTTGTCTGATTTACAAAACTATTTACACAGATCTCGACCAGCACTCTTGAAATCAGACACACAAAAGTTGCTTTGGTGCCAAGCACTTCTGCTTTGCAGTAATAGCACTTAGAACAAGGAGGTTGAGCTAGGAGGAAGGAAATGTCGCAAACTGACTTGTTCCAACGGTGGCATTGTATTACAGCACCACACTTGAATCCACTGAGCGCTTTAGAATGACCCACTCTTTCACCAACGTGTGTAAAGTCAAGCTGCGTGGTTAGGTGCTTGATTTTTATACCTGAAAAAGGTTGAAGAGGTGTCACTCAGTACTTCTGTCTGTATTAAAAAAGAAACCAGACGCTGCTGCTGTTTAGAATCAAAATGACCAAAACTGTCACTCGGCATAAGAGCTGAATGGTTATGTCATGTAGCAACATTGTTGACCACTTTGATTTAAAGATGACATGCATCTCAGCATTGATGTAAAGACCAACAAAAAGGCCTTATACTTGCTTATCAAATCATGTGTTAATCTCTCTGTTACGGTTTTTTTCTGCTTTCAGCTTCGGAGGTGGCCCAGCAGTCAACCACCTCTACATGTGTGCAATCTGTCAGGTGGAGATTGAAGCTCTAGCTAAACGCAGAAAAACAGAAATTGACACCTTCATCAAGGTAAACGTGTGTGTTATGTAAAAGTTTACCTTTGTGCTAAAGTGTCTTTGTGTTGAATGAACTTTTTTTTTTTTCTCTTGTGTGTAGCTGAACAAAGAGTTTCAAGCTGAGGAGGCTCCAACAGTGATCCTGTGTATCAGCATGCAGTGGTTCAGAGAGTGGGAGAGCTTTGTGAAGGGCAAAGACAATGGTACGATGAGTAGCAGCGCATTCGAGTTCCCATCTTTCTCTCTTTACCAAATACTTTTATACTTTCCTTTTCCCAGAGCCACCCGGTCCCATCGACAACAGTAAAATCGGTGTTATGAAAGGAGGACATATACAGCTAAAGCAAGGTAAGTCTGAGGAGGTTGAAAAGGACATAAAGGTAGAAAATCAATGTACTGCTTTTAGACATTGCGTGTTTTTTCACCACAGGTGCAGACTATGGTCAGATCTCAGAGGAGACTTGGCAGTACTTGTTGGGAATTTATGGCGGAGGCCCTGAGATTGCAGTGAGACAGACGGTGGCCCCGGCTGACCCCGACACCCTTCACGGAGAGAGGAAGATTGAGGCAGAGACGAGAGCACTTTGAGATAAAGAGAGGTTGGAATCTTTACACTTTGCTTCATTGCTGTGCAAAACTTTTGAGACTGATGTTTTTGAATTTTTAAAAAGTGATCTTTAGCAATAGTTCTCTGGCCTCATTTTGAGTCCAGTCCTCGTACCTGACCATTTTCAGAGGAAATTTGTTTAATGTTTGTTGTTTAATTTTAAATTGTATCTTTAGGCACTTTGTTATTAGGAGCCTGTCACGAAGATTATTTGTTCCCATTTCCTTGAGTTGAATCTATAAAAAAACACCCCAAATCCAAACATAAGACAGTTACACAACACAGAGCTATTAGCTTTAAATTTGGCACATCTCCGCATGGTGTGCAGTGTGTCCTAAAAAAAAATTAAGGAACCTGGATAAAGACGACCTGGCAGGCCTCAAAAACGTGAAAAAATGGACCTAAAAGTTGCATCTGGACTTCATCTCCTGTTATCTGAAGTGGCTGAGGTGTGTGTAATTACACAGGAGCTGGAGTGAAAATCAGTGGCAACAGGTCTTATAAACAAAGGAATTCAGATTCTGTATTTTTGGTGTAAATTCTGATCACAGAGCAGGGGATCCACATTTAAAACTTATTATCAACATGTATGGTGGCGGTCAGAAGAGGTCCAACAGTGAGTGTCTACAGCCATCTGTAAAACACGGGGGAGTTGCTGCCTTGGTTTGTGGGATTTGTGATGGAACAAATATAATAAGTATTGTCAGATATTGATTCACCATGATATACCATCTAGAAAGTGTCTGATTGGTAACAGCTTCATCTTTTAGCAATAAGTGATTCAAAAATCGCAATAAAATGCCTCCTCAGAGCCCAGACCTCAACATTATTGAAGCAGCGTGGGATCATCTTGACAGAGAAGAGAACAAAAGGCCTGAAGCTCTGTTGCTGAACTTGTCAGAACTGTACAAACTCTGTATTTCCATGTATGTTTGCAGGATTCAATAAATGTCTGGAATTTTTTTGGAAAATATATAGCAGTGAGAGGTGGCTCAAGACATTTGCACAACACTGTACTTATAAACATACATATCCCTATATATGCTGTATATACACAGAGTGGATTCAGGTATGCCTTTTAGTGTATTTGGGTAAATCAGCAGAAAGAAGGATATCTGGTCTCTTAACTGCTATAAATCCATAATATAGAGTTGGAGATGATGCCTCACTAAGGGTCTGCTCATTCTCAAACTGTTTCTCAACTTTTATCATCCCCAGGTCGTCTGAGCCCTTTTTCCACTCTTGTCCTCACAGGAAGCTGAGGAATTTGCACCACGGTGAAGAAGCCCCGTCTTGAGCACTTTGTAAATGTAGCAGCATGTTATTCTGAAGCCATGTTGCAGCAAGAGAAAACGCTACCTAAAAACAACACGGTTTATTTGTTGGATAACTTTGATCCTTAATGTTGAGGTGTACAAATAAGATGTTGTCACATCCCTGGAGCTGTTTTTGGTAGCTGTGGTGTCTCAGTGGCCGCTGTAGTGACATGGTGTTGTATAATGCTAAACGGGCAGATGGCTGCAAGTATTACAAGACGAAATGCTGCGGAGAATAGAATTACAGTGTGTTGCTTTTGAGGACTTCTCTTCTTCCCTGGAAGCAAACCCAGAGACATTAACAGTGCTTTTTGTTATTTAGTTACATATCAGCAGGTACGGCCATGACGAGAGGGATGTCAGATAAATCACAGTCGGACACTTTGATCTTTAAAGGGGACATATTATGCATATCTACTTTGTTTTTCCACAAAAGATGGCAAAAGAGCATCCCTAGAGATATTGCATGTAGTTACATACAGGCCCCACTGGTGAATAGATGCACCTGAATACAACAGACCTGCCCTGGTGTACATTTCTGTGTTTTCATGTCACCTTTACTGCTTTAGTCCAAGCTCAGCTCGGTCCTTTACGTCTCTTTGCATCTCTCCTCATCGCACCCTGTACTGCATTTCAGCACGTTTAAAATCCCACTACAGCTGACCTCATTTACATAATCTTCAGTTTTTGTTTACAGACAATGAAATGAGTGTGAAATATGAAGACACAAACTACAACCTGGCTTGTAACCTGTCGCCAGTTATGAGCCAGTTTTTAAAGCTGCATTGCTAAAGTTTCAGTTTTTGAATTGATCCATGGTTCATAATCATGAGCTCAAATCAGTGGTTGTTTGTGATTGCTTTGTGTTGCATGTAAAATGATCACACTGAGAATGATAGAAACATCAGAGTCTCTCATTCACGTCTATGTGGCACACTGTGCTGTACTGCTCTCACTGGGTGGTGCTTTCGGCTGCTCCCGTGTGTGTCTTACAGACCACTTCCTGAAAAGGAGATTGGGCACCAGCAGCACTTTTAATTTAAAGCTACAGGCACTGAAAGAGTCTGTTGAAAACTGGGGGTATAAGCTGAACCTTAAACATTTCGGGGACATGTAAAGCCTGCATCAACATGTTAAAGTGGTATATAATATGTCCTCTTTAAAAGCACTCAGGACTGTGGGTCTTTTTAGGTTTGAATTTGTTTAAAAGGATTTACAGACTACAAAACTGCATGTGTGGGTTCCAAAAGACTTTGGGTATAAATGCATGAAAAAAAGTTGGGTTTTTTTGTTCTTCTTTGCTCAAGTGAGGACATTTCACTGACAGGTTGAGTTATTTTATTTTTTTTTATACCCCAAACAGACAACCCGTTATCTTTTTGTGTGCTCAAAATGATCGAAGTGTTGACTCGCTTCTGTTTAGTTTACGCAAGCAGCGATCAATACTTAGGAGTTTATGAATATTAACAGATGGAAATTTGGAAATGGGAATTTTCATGGGGCATAGACAGAAAGTTGAGCGTGAGAGAGGATTAATGAAGAGAATCTTGTGCAACAAAACATCAGAGCTGGTTTTTATGAAGAGAAGAGACAGAAGCTTTTGATTTCTAAGTGTAAATTAACTTTGAGATGCCTGTTATTACAATAGACCATTATGCAGTATTTGTTTAAAGGGCAGTATTAAGTACAAAGTGCTTTTTCCCACCATCTTCTAAAAATTTAGCAGAAATAACACAACAGCTTCACAAACAGATATCACATATGCAAAAAAAAGAAGAAGAAAAGAAACCTGTCGCACCAATAAGGTTACTCCTTATACTGATTCGGTGTATGTATACTTTTGTTTATTATTATTATTTTGTTTTATACTACTGTGCAATGTTTGGACTCCAATCTGAAGGTGGTAAATAAAAAAAAAACTTGTAAAGATTTAGCATAAGTATAAAATGTTAGATATTTTCCTGAAGTGTGCAATTCATGTTGCAGAAATGCAAGAGAGATAATTCGATAACAAATCTGTAAGAAGCTTAGCTAAGTAAACTTAGTCATCCTCTTTCTCATTTCAGATAAACCACACGCTTGCCTTTTTTGTTCTTTTTAAAAAATAAATAAATAATGGAACCCTAACCCTTGCCAAACGTTGCCCCCACATTTTAAGTAGTTAATGCTCGGCATTAACTAATAAGCTAATTCTTTCCCTTTAATATATTAGACTACATTACATTATATTAGTCTAGTCTACTGTCAGTTAATAATAATCAGGTTTAGAAATGGTGTTAATGAGCTATTACATGCTTCTTCTTTTTTTTGTCAATTTACATGACATGAAGTCTCCATAGGTGTTTTTCATAAAGTGTCAGTGCATATACATTGCTTTTAAATCTCTATTTTGTCAGTAATCATTGAGGGAGAAATTATATGTATTAGACTGGCAGTGAAAAACCTCCAGAAGTAGACTGTGGGTAAATGTTGCAACTCAGCTGATGCCGGTTTAAAAGTAGCTAGAAGTACTTTGATAACAAATGACTGAAAATAATAGTGAGGGCTTATTTAATCTTTTATGTAAGATGAAGGTGCAAAGTGGTGTTTGTTCCAGAGTGTTCCCCGTTCTGTGTCATTTGCTTTTTTTAAAAAAATAAAAAATTCCTCTAAGTGAAATTACTATTTTTCCCTGATGACGAGTTCACGCACACATATTTGGGAGTAATCGTCTGAATTTCTTCACATTTGTATCAAGGAATCATTTTTGGCTATAATTTGAGGCATAACAGATGGGTCTCAATAATAGAGTATGATCATTCACCCCGGTTGCGTTTGCCAAATAGAAGAGCCAAAATAGAGGCACAGAACAAATTGACAGTGAATTCAACCATAAAGCCAAAACTGGCTCACCTCTGTACATGTAGTTATATATCTAGGTTTCCAATAAAATCAAAGTTAATGTTTGTTTGTTTTTTTGGGGGGTGGAGAATTAATGGTCAACCAGGGCTCCACCAGAGTTCAGGTACAGAAGTGGTAGATTGTTTCTGGCTGGGTGGGCCCAGATCACTTCTATCGCTTGGTAGATCATATGGTCCTTCTGACTTCATTAGGTGGTGACCTGCTAGGATGGTTCTCAGTTCATCCAAATTATTGTAGTTAAAGGAGCTTGGAAAGAAAACCGTCTGGACTTCTTTAAGTTTCCTTAAAAACATCTCACCTCTCATCCGAGAAGCTTCTCTAGTTCTAAGAGCAATTGGTGAAGAGTGAAGAGTAGAAGAGCCACCTCGACAAGACAAGACTCAGCTATTCATCTGCATTTAAAGGACACAGGTCTCTCTTTTGAAGATGCCAATGTTCACATTTCGGACAGAGAAGACAGATGGTTTGAAAGAAGAGCGAAGGAAGCATCTATGTCCACTGTGAACGACCATCTTTGAACAGAGGCGGTGGTTTAAGACACCAACTGTCTGCCATCTATAATCCAGTTTTGAGAACCCTTCCCAGACGCCTTAACGACCACTCACATCCTGAGCCATTTGACCTCAGTAAATCACCTGACAGGGTGGGGCTTAGTCTCACAGTGGGTTCACCTGAAACATTGACTGATTGTGCCTCACACCCGCTTTCAAAGGTGTGGGGCAGAGGATCAACAGGGGGTCCACGACCCTCTTGGGGACACTCCCAATAGGGCTTAAAATCTGGAACTCTCCACCATTTGCTCTTAGAACTGAAGAAGCTTCTTGGATGAGAGGTGAAAAGTCTTCAAGGAAACTTAAAGAAGTCCAGACACTTTGTTTTCAAGCGCCATACATTGCGCTAGGACGATTTGGAGCTGGGATGACATTTGGCACTTCCAAGTTTGAGGCCACAGTTCCCAACCGAAAAAGGGTGCAGGTCTCTTTCCACTTTGGAAAGTAGTTTCTCCCCTAAGTAGGGGAGTTCAAGTATCTTTAGATCTAGAGAATGGGAATAGCATATTGTCTGAAGAGATGCAGGTGCTGTACCGGTCTGTTGTGGTGAAGAAAGAAATGAGTGTAAAGGTGAAGCTGTAGATTTACTAGTCATGCTACATTTCTGTCCTCACCTATGGTTAGAGCTGGGCGTGAAGACCGAAAGAACGAGATTGTGGATACAAGCAGTGGAAATGAGCTTCCTCTGAAGGGTGTCTTGGCTTGCCATGGCTATTGAGTGGACTCACTACTGTGCATGCTCAGCTCTAAATTTTCCAGATTTCTAATATCTCATTCTGTGACATATCTACTTTAACCTTTTGGTTCCCGTGGCATTCTTGCCTTGCAGCTAAGTGAGGCGCCCCTTATCCAAAACAACTTCACATTTGGCACTGTGCTTGTATAGTCAGCAATACACCCATCCAATGTGAAACTTGATTGCGGAAATAGGCGACAGTAGTTCAGATAGACAGATTCATCAATTATTTAAAAATTTTTATATTTAAAAAGTCCTTGGACATTTTTACTCTCTAACAAGAAAGTAGAAATAGGGTTTCCCTTTAATGTGTTCGAGTCATCTTAGCAGAATAAAACAAAACTTTGACAAATACCGATCAAAAATTAAGTGTTTGATGTGTGCTTTTTCCCTTAATAATAGCTGGGGTAACTATCTGCACTATAGTCATCCTACTTTTGAATACAGTGCCTTCAATCCCCTACACACTGTTTGTTAAGGTGGGAAATTTCCCAACATTCATCCACCTTTACATTAGTCATGTATGTCTAGCAGTGTACTATCAACTCTAACAGCTTTATTTGTTTGGAAGCTCAATCGAGAAAGCTCTCATTCATGCAGAGATATTAAGGAAAGCGATGAGAACTCAGGAGGTAATCATTCCTTTGTTCTCCAGCTTTATATGAAAAACAACAGGAACCTTTGAACGGCGCGTCCTAACACATGATAGGCAGAATTACTTTTTTCCATTGTTTTGTTTACACCACTGATTTGTTCATTGTTTTCTAATGTGTTTTCTTTTAGCACATTTCCATGTTGTATCCACGAGAGGTGTTATTGGCGATCTGTGTATTATGTTTAGATACATTTTTTTT